TTAGAAACTAAGGATATAGAATTACTAATGTCATTATAGTTTTTCTATGGTTTCTGAGTCGCCTAGATACCAATTGGATACCTTAAACAGACTGTAATACTTCTCATGTTTGCTTGGTTGGCTTTTCTAAATGTATTGCTTCGTTCATAATATCGAAGAGTAAAGAGAACCTTGAGAAAGGTCAAAAAAGGAGATTAGAAAGATCGAAGCTTTTAAACGATCGTAGATCCAAACCTTTAATATATTATCAGTAACTTTGCAATTTTAGTAATGATAAACATCTTTATATTTCACAATGGTTCGTTCGTTTTAAGTCTAATTAGAATTAATTTGTTTATTTTATTGAAAGAAAAAAAAATAAATAAATAGAAAACAAATATATAATATATATTTATTTATTTATTTTATTTATTCATTTTTATTCTATTTATTTAAATTATTTCAATGCATATGAGATTTAACACAATATATATATATATATATGTGAATACATTTCGCGACTTCATGTTAGAGTATACATATGAGTGATAAATTTTGTAAGAAAAAAAAAAAAAGAAAAAAAAAGGGAAAAAGAAAGGGAAGAAAAAAAAAGTAGATGCAAAATGATGATGTAAATAATATTAGTCAGCAATTTGCATTTTCGGATTTAGTCACATTTAGTCAGAAACGTCAACAATGATATTTAAAACTTGAGCTAGGCAAAGACTCACACAGTGTTCTCTCTTGTTAGATGATGAAAAAGAGGGGAAGTAAAAGAGGGGTACCTGTGAGAAATCATATATATGTAGGGTGAGTCAGAACAAGTGCACTTCGTCTTTTCGAGTGCTTTTCGACTGTTTTCGAACGCACAAATAACTATTCGTCATTGAGTCAGCCATAACAAACAAACAAAAATCTATAAAGTGTCGCAATACTTACGTGTAAGAGAGATTATGGTTAAAAAAAAAAAAAAAAAATAATTCATTAAAATTTTTTTTTCTTTTTTTTTCTTTTTGTATATGTATATATGTATGTATTTTACATATTTTTTTTTTTTTTTTATATATTTTACATTTTACGACACTTCTATCTCGTGTGATATTACATTTTCATATTAATATTCTTACCTACTCCTCATACATCCTATTATTCGAAAAAATTACAAATTCTTTTTTAAGCGAATGAAATTTTTCTACTTGTGTGTGTGTGTGTGTGTATCATACTGTTTGTATGAGGTATGACTCAGTGGTTATGTACGATGAAATGATTCATTGAAATATAGGTTGGTACTGAAATAGAAGAAGACGAAATTAGAAAATAGAATTGTGTAAATAACCATAATTTTGATGTTATTAATTCATTATAGCTTTTCGTATTATCAGATTTTTAAATATTTTATGCAGATTAGAAAATAACAAAAAAAAAAGTAAAAAAAAGAAAAAAAAATAGAGAGAAAAAAAGAAAGAAACAAACGAACAAATGAAAAAAAGAAAAAATTATATAATTTAGAAATTATAATACTGCTTATGCTTAGAAAAGGATACGTTACAAATTTCTGATGTGTATAAAAAGTAAAGAATATATATATATATATATAGGATTAAATTACAACGTAATGGTTAAATAAAATCATTCGAAATTAATTGAATGTTTAAATGTCAGTTTCAGAGAAAAGAAAAAAGAAAAAGAAATAATTAGAATAAAAAAAGAAAGAAAAAAAAAAAGAAAATAAAAAAACAAATATAAAGTCGTTAAAAAAATTATACACATTTTCGCGTATAAATAAATAATTGGAAAATTTTGTTTCGATAAATGTTGTTAATCGGGAAATAATTCATTGGAAAAAAAAAAAAAAGAACAAAAAAAGGAAAGAAAAAAAATTGTTTAAACGCCGTAGTCGACGAAACATTTCGATAATTTCAATTTGAATTGGATTATGTCGTATCGAATTAGAAAAAAAAATAATAAAAAAAAAAAAAAAAAAAAAAAAAAAAGAAAAAAAAAAAAAAAAAAAAGAAAATAAAAACTTCCCTATTGCCTCGGACCATGCACGTAAAGCATGAGAACGACGTTTAAATGCGTCGAATTTCACGCAAAGATTTTCTTGGCGTTCACTCCTAGCGTATAAGAAAGAACGAAAGAAAGAAAGAAAGACCGAGAGAGAGAGAGAGAGAGCGAGAGAGAGAGAGAGCATACGGTTATTTTCATCTTTGTTCCCGCGAGCTATCGTAGCTTATTCGTTCGCTAACACGTTCGTTCGTTCGTTCGTTCGTTCGTTCGTTCGTTCTTTCATTCGTTCGCACGAATCGAAAGCGTCTGGTCGCGCGGAAAGATTCATCATCGAGATAAAATCATGGAAGATACGGTTCCTCGTCACGATGCCTGCCGGAGTAGAAAGCGTCCGGCTTGTTTCTCTCCTGCATCGCGAGGGACATCACTCCCAAGTATATCCTCTCTTTCTCCCTCCCACCCTCTCTCTCCCCCCTCCTCTCTCTCTCTCTTTTTCTTTTACAGTCTCATACATTACTCTTTCTCTATCTCTCATTTTATTTCGAATACGTTCAAAGTATGTATGGATGTATATATATATATATATGT